ATTAAAATTTTAAAACCTTGGAAATGCATGTGTTTCCTTTGTCAGCAAGAGTAATAATATACTGAGTGGACTTCAAATCAAGTATGAAGTTTTTATATGCTAAGTCTTGAAACAGAAATCTCAGTCAAGCCAGTAAAATAACATAATTACAGTGATCCTGCAAAGAGGGAATGTTTTCCAGTTTACTGATAGTGAGATGCAATTGAGACTGACAAGATTATAATTCACTGTGGGTGTTAAAACACAATCTCAGATCATAGAAACCAGTAACAGCCACCCATGTATAAATACTGTATTTTTATTTCAAATTCATAGGTATACATTTAAAGATCTGAACCAAAACATACAAATTTTTTTAAACCTGTTTATTATATGTTATTTTTATACTAACTTCACAATTTTTAATTGTTTCACTTTATTTCCATTTTTATATCTATTCATTTCTGACCCTCAGAAGCTTAGCTGTATATTTATATCACCATATAACGCTGCTATTAATCTACTAAGTAGGTTAAATCTTGAGCTTTGGAGTAGCCACTGAAAGTGTCGTAGGCACTAACTCATTAGTTTTTTCTTCCTGGAATATTTCTGTAAAGGAAACAAACACAGAAAATAAATGTGCTCTCTTCTGTTCCAGAGGAGTTAAAGAACCAGGAATTTCAACATCAGAGATCCAACATCTTTTAACTCATTATTACCTATATAATGGATTCATCCTACATTCTTCCAGTCACCTTGTTGTGCAGGCCCGAATAGATGTTATATTTTTGTTAATCTTTGGTTTCTAACTCTTAAAAACTTTGAGAAAACAATAGCAGGGTCTGTTCATTACATTCTATATTAGTTATCTATTGCTACATAATGAATTGTTTCAAAACTTAGTGGCTCAACACAGTGACAATTTATTACCTCTCACTTTTCTATAAGAGGTCAGTAATTCAGGCGCAGTTTGGCTGGGCTGATCTGGCTTGAAGTTTCTTATGAGACTACAGCTACATGTTTCCTGGGACCTGTAGGTGTAAGGGTAAGATTGGAGGCTTCTCGTCTAGATGGCCGACTCACATGGCTGGCAAGATGGCCGACTCACTTGGCTGGCAAGTTGTCACTGGCTGTTGGTAGTAGGCCTCAGTTCTTCTCTACGTGGGTGTCTTTCCATCTGACTAATTGAGGGTTCTCATGGCATAGGGACTGGCTTCCTTGGAGCTGGAGTAAGTGATCAAAAGACCATGGTGCAGCCTCTAATGCCTTTTATTACTTAGTCTTGGAAGTCACATAATATTGTCCCTTTAGTCTCTTTGTCACACAAGGCAGCATTGATGCAGTGTGAGATGGGACTACACAAGGCCATAAATACTAGGAGGTATTGGAAGTAGCATAATTACAATGTGAAGATTTATGGCCATCTTGGAGGTTGATTGCCAGAGCTCACTCTGTAGGCTACACAAAGATTCACGTCTCTTTCATATGCAAAGTACAATCACCTCCTCCAAAAGCCCTTCAAAGTTGCATTCCATTAGAGCACCTACCCCAAATCCAGGATCTCATCATCTAAGCAAAGTCAGACCAAAATGAAGCTTCTAGGGATTTCCAGATGAAGCTATCTGAGTATAGTTACTCTAGTACAGTTCTCAATCTGAAGGCCTATGAACAAGTTTTATGACACCCACACCTGGTGTATGATGGTAAATATGCATAGAGAAATTAACTTCGACTGTCTGGTTCAAGAGGAGAAAAACGAGAAGCACAAAGAAGTTGCTTTGGTCCACAGCAGTTCTGAAATCTAGTCAGGCACGTGTTGGTAATTAATTCCTTAATTAGGACTCTTAGGACTCAGTCCTAATTACTTTCTTTTATTATTATTTTCTTAATTATTTTCTGGAAATAATTCTCCATGGCTCTTGGCTCTGCCTCCCATGATCTCAGTTCTGCCACTCTGAGTCATTCTTCCTTTTTTTTTAATAAAACATCTGTGTTTGCAGCTTCATAGTTTCCTGACCATAGAAATTATGGGCCCCCCAAAGCCTTCTTTCCATTTTGTACTATCTCTGTTCCTTTCAATACAAGCTGGTGGTGGTATTACCTCCAATATGGTTCTCTTAAGAATGCATGGGTTTTCTATGATCATTATTCAGACTTTCTCCATTAAATAAAAGGCAAATCCACAATGTCATAAAGATAAGCTTCCTTTCACCTTGTCCCTCTGCTGATCTACAGAAGGAAAATGCTCTGAATGTTTGACTGAGAGGACCTGGAACACATACCGATAAGCTTCTAAGAAGGTCTTTGGTCTCCCCGAATAGTTCTCTGATGTACCAGATAATATCTCTCTTAGGTCTTCACCTGGATTGTACAGTCACACCTCCTTGTCACCTTTAGATCATGTTTTCCTGGTATTTGATCTTTCCCTGGTGTGATTTATTAATTTTTGCATTGTTCACCATCTAGAGAGACTGGAATCAAAAGACCATATTACTTTAAAATTCATCAATTTCTGGTATCTTCATATTTAGTTCTTTAGCTTTTTTCTCTCTCTCTTTCTTTCTTTTACAATGAACAGAAAGAAGAGGCCAGACAGCACTTACAATACTCTGCCTAGAAATGTCCTTAGCTATATTCCACAATTCATTTGAGTACATCTATTTTCCCCATATTATCACAGGCAACAGTTTTACTAAACTTTCCACTGCAACATAGCAAGTATCCAGTTTTCTCCCAATTTCAATAATATATTCCTTGTCTTCCTTTAAGCCATTACTCACAGCCTCCTCAAGCTGTCAGGCCTCTGGTCAACAGTGCTCTTAAGGCCCATTCTACTTACTCGTACATGCCTGTCCTAAGCCACCGCCACATTTTTTAGGTTTTGCAAAGCTTTCTATTGTTCACAGAAGTAATCCTTAATTCTGTGTGGAAGAGGACTACAAAAGGGCATGACTAACTGGGAGGCAGGGATTAATGGTGTTCCTCTTGGAAACTTTAAAGATAATGCAAAAGAGAAAAAAATTAAATTTTAATGGCTATGTAGTATTTTGTCCTATAATTATCTCCTAGAATATATCCCATGTAGGAAAATGAAAGGACTTGACAATTTCAAACTTCAAAATTATCAAGACCAGACAGAACACTGGTATGAGTGACTTATGTGAAATCTTATTTTGTGAATTTAATTGTACCCAATTTGTGGTGATCAGTGTTTATGCAGGTGCTGTGCTTCAGAGAGTTCTTGTTCTCACAAATAAATCTGCTCATTTTGACATCTTTCAAATCTAGTGTGGATATTTAGAGAATCCTAAGTATTAAAAAACAGAAATAAATGATAGTCTTGTTAAGAACGGTCAATAAAGTTACAGCTGGGTGTTTTCACTCTGCTAAGTTTAAAATTAAACCCTATTCAATTTTTTTCTTGATTAATCAATTGAAAATCATATGAATGCAAACAACTAGTCTAAATAGACCACATATCTGAGATCATCATTTTTATGCAGGGACTAGTGAATACAAATAAAACAAAAAACAGTGGCTTAGTAAAAAGTACATATACACACACAACAAAACACACATGAGTCATATGTTAGTATTCAAAGAGAGCCTTACATTGATTTTTTTTTTTTTTGTCAAGAAGTTAATTTAAATATAGTCTTATTTTTATATAGTACTGTGTTGGTGAAAATAATATACACTTCTGTGATTAACTCTTAAAAGAGATTCAAAGGACAGTTATTAGACTTTAAATATTATAACCCATTAATTCAGGGAGAAAGGAGGTTTTTACTATACTAAACTATTCCTAATGAAAGAGAATAGGACATTTAAAAAAATCACTTAATGGCCAATTTCTGTTTTAATTGAAAATTCACTTTTATCCACTTAATGGCATATCTTGGTTCCAATCTATTTCATACAAATTGGTTTTTGCTACAGATATGTTAGATGAAGTGAATTTGTGAATAACTTCAGATTTGTAAGCAGACAAATTAGTATAGTTTAAATTTGCCCAGTAGGCAAGTTTGGTGTGATGAACAATACGAAAAGTAGAAGCTTTGGGGAACTTCTGGAGATATTTAATAGGATTAAGAAATATCATTATCTTATGGCCTACAAATTTTTTATACATAATAATTATACTTTTTTATTAAAAAGATATAATAGTAATTGGTGGTGATATTTTAAAGTTATTTAGCAATAAAATTATTAATATCTGATTTCAAGCTTGGTATATATATATATATATATATATATATTCTATTCCTTAATAGAATCAGCAGTATTTACTGTGGGGATTTTTTTTTCTTGTTATTCACTCTTTTATTTTTAGTTTCATCTGTTATCATTTATTCTATTATACCATGTTAGGTATTGGTATAAGATGTATATACAAAGCAGAGTGGCTCATTGTTATGCCTAAATTTATTTCTTTACATGTTACTTTGGATTTTATAAATTGAAAAATCATTTACAATGCAAATACCTCTTTGGATTGAGTTAAACATTGATCCCTAAACTAAATTTATTTTAATTGATAATAGTGACATTGGCTTTTTGACATCTGAATAACAGGCCACTAGGAAATTAAGAAAACAGAAATAAATATAGAAAGTACAAGAGGAAGGAGGATGGACAGCCAGGGAAGTTCTAAAGTTTTGTGTGCTAATCTCTGAGGGCAAGATCAGGTGATAAAGAATAACAGTGAGCCTTCAACAGCAGAGAAACTAAAAGATATGACAGGGTGAGAAAGATGTCAAAAGAGAAAATTTGAGTGACAGCAGACCCCAGAGACGAATGTTGACCTGGTGACCCACTGCAGTTCAACTCTGACTTCTTCCCCTGAAATCATCTTGCTTTCTCAAAAGACTTTCTTCTTCTACACTGAAGACAACATCAGCAAAGATCAGAGAAACACTGTAGTTGGAAACAATAGCTGTTGCCAGGTAGAATACCCACAAGAATTTTAAGGAAGCATACCGTACACCAAATTTAACACTCCTGTTTCTTCTGTTTCACAGGTTTTCTGAACCAGATGAATAACTCAAGCCACTCTGTCCTTCAGCCTTCATTCCAAGGATGCATGCAACTCATCCAAGTCGATGACCAACTCGTGAATTTGTACGAAGTGGCTCAAAGGAAGCCGGGAAGTTTTGCCAATGTCAGCATCGACATGTGCGCCATCATAGACAGGTAAATGGATTTGTCGTCCTACCTCAGGTAGTCCCACCGTTCCAAATTCATGTTTCTGTTGTGAGACCAGTGAAACACCCGAAAGGAAAATAAGAAAAAACAAACAAAGAAGCAACAGACACAAAAACACCTAAGGCAAAAGTTACCATTCAAAATGCCTATCGTAGTACATGTGGGGTGTTAGCGGTGACAGCACTTATGTCCTTACATGGATATATGCCATAGAAGCAGCTGTGGTGTCACATGGCCCATCAGCTTTGCTCAGAGAACATGAGCCTCCTGCAAGTAGTTTTACAAGCAACAGCTGTGTGGTAGAGAAACTCTGACAGTTTGTTTTGGGTTTTGCTTTCTATGCTCACAAGCAGAAATGTCCCTTCTCTCCCTGTCTCGCTGGTGACTTGGCCTCAGCATACTGTCCCCTCCAAAGCTCCTTCCTGAAAGAAAAGAAACATTGCAAAATATTGGTGAGCAACGTGGAAACTTACTGAGACAGAACATTTAGAATAATTGAGTTTGCTTACAAAATACAGATATTAAAATACTACAAAATGTAATCTTTATTAGTTTTACAAAGCTGGGAGGAGTTTTTATGAAAACTTTAATTAAATTCTCACACAATGGAAAATACAACTTTTAAGTGAAATATTTATGATAGTATTGCATGCACTACCCATAACATACTTCTAGAAAATGCCTTTCATTCCAACATGGAAAATTTTTATTTTGAGATGTTTTATCTGTAAAGAAACTACATCTAGCTCTTAGTTGAAGTTAATCTAGTGAAGGTAGGTGATTTTTTTTAAAGTGATTTTCAAATCTTTTGTGGGAAGGCTATATTATTCCGAGAAATAATTTCATTAAATTTGTGTTTTGGAAAGTGAAAGTTCTTTAAAATCTTTTAAAATTTTCAAATAAGATATCACTTCTGCTTCAGTCTGCCCACAACAAAATGCAGACCTTACGTCTCTAACAAAGTTATTTAATTTAAGAGGAAGTACTCAGGAAGTCACTCAAAGACATATAATAAATGTTATAAATGTACAATATAAATTAATCTATTATTAAGTAAGTTTGCTTCCATATAATCTTAATAAGATGTTCGTGTGAATGATGAATTACCGTTTATGGTGACTACAGAATGCAGCTTTTTAAAAAGCCTTAATATGTTTATAATGAGATTTAGAAACATTTCACCCTGCTTATTTCTAGATGGAACTGGGCAGTTCAGGTTGGCATGGCTAGAGAGCACCCTCTTATTTTTATGGCATGTATGCAAATACTGGTCCTAATATCCTAAACAATTTACATGTAAACAACATAGTGAACCATGTTAACAGAAGTAAACTCCTAATTTTTGAATCATTAAAAAAGTGTTAGCTATTATTTCTGCCTAAAGCAAGTGGTAGCAATAATTAGAAAAGCTGAGAGATGAAGGTTTTAAAGATTTTTTGATCTGATGTTAGTCAATAATCTACATATTATAATAATTGTTTTTATACAGAAAAAAACTTTCTTCATAATAGTTATGCAGTATATCGAAATATTTTAGTACCTTGTCTTTTTTTCATGTCAGTAGCTATAAGGAAACAATAATTTTGTTACCTCATTCAGCTTTGTAAACAGGCTAGACTGTGTATTGCTGTTTCACTTCAAATGTCATGTTTTCTGGGCATTATATTTAAGTTGTTTGTTACCAAGGAATTATGGGTGAGGTGTTAAGATTTTCATGTTTTACTTTAATGGAGACAGTAGGAGTTAAATTGATTCCAAAAGAATGAATGAGATTTCGGTAAATGAAGAGAAAGGCACATGATTCTCCTGGTGACAAGATGAACACCGGGGAAGATATAAGATATGGGATTCCAATTTCAATTTTTGGCAGATACAAAAAAACACAATTTTTTTTTTTTTTTTGCCAAATGCATCAGTCCCAATGTCCACCTTGCTAAGTTTCCTATAGCTGACAGAACAAAGAGCACACCTTACTTATTCTTTAAGATGACAAAAGAGAAGATAGCTGTGGGAAGGTAGTCATGTGTGATGCAGCCCCACAAATTTTCTAAACCCAGTATGGAACCCATTTTCCGCTTATACCATTTTTTAAGGGCAAAGGATTCTGTACATTAAATACCAACGTGTGAAACAGAAGATTCTTTTATTCACCTAAAATATTCCCAGTTCAAAATCTTAAGCTGTGAAGTGTCGTGTGTTTTCATATGTGTGATACAGAACTATACTCACGTGATTTAAACCATTGAAGAGCTCACAGGTGTCACCCTCAGTCTGTATCTTTCCAGGTGAGAGTACTGCAGGTTTTAGCCCATCCTCATACAGCAGTGACCCATCCAGATAATACTGTCACCATAACGTCCCCAGCACATCTCTGGTTTGGTTTTTTTTCCTCCACACTCACTGAAACTTTATGATTGTTTTCAGATTTACTTTTGTTTTCAGATTACCCCACTTTTCCCTAAGGAACCCCACATTTGGTTTTTTTTCTTTCTCTACTCCTTTCAAATTCCAGCTTGATTGGTTTGAGAGTTATTTTTGAGGGGAAAAAAAGAATAAATGAGAATATGAGGTTAAAAAAATAGAAGCGCTACCACAGGCCTGGTTTTTCTAAAACATTTGGAGATAATAGGAGCAGCTGCAATTATTTGATGAGAGGAACTTAGGGAGCTAGTTGAGAGAAGATGATTCTAGAGGATATTTTCTGTGTGTCTTACTGGAATACCCTATGATTTAAAATAATTTTTTCTTCCTTTGTGTGTGGATTTGCATGTGGCTTGTTTTGTTTACTTGTTTGTTTACTGAACACAGCATTGAATCAAGGAAAGAGCAAGCATGCCAAGCTGCAGAATTATGCATTCAATATTTATTTTCTGAGCTGCTCTACACATTTTGGGATAAATCACTGAATAAAATAGAGATTCTTGCACATTTGAAGCTCACATTCCTGGGGAAGGCAAAGAAGGACAGATGATGTAATATAATAAATATAATAATATAATATAATATAGATATAATAATAAAGTAAATAATATAGTAAGTTGGAAAAAGTTTTATGGAAAAGAAACAGGAAAAAAAAAGAGAAAAGCAAGGAGCACTAGCATGCTAGAAGATCAAGGTGTTGAGTTGCAATTTAAGCAGGTTGGTCAGGTTAAGCCTCATTGCAAAGCTGGTATTAGTGGAAGATCTGAAAGTGGTAACAGAATTTACCAGTGTGGGAAAGAGAATTCCAGGCAGAGAGAATTTTCCTTGCAAAGAGGCTGCCTGTTGTGAGCTAGGATCAGCAAGGAAGCCAGGGCGGCAAGTCTGGAACAACAAGAGGAGTTGAAGAAAAGGAGACCAGAGCAGTCCTGGAGGCCAGACCCTGGAGACTCACGGGTTATCGTAAGGATCTGGCTTTTATTCTGAGGGAATGAGCCAGCTATGGTGTGATATAGCTTACATTTTAAAAGGGTGAATCTGGGCCGTGAGAGCAGAAAAGGTGAAAGCACAGAGCCTGATTAGAAGGATGTAATCATTAAGCAGGTGGGAAATGCTTGTAGCCGAGACCAGGAAGCTGGCACAGGAGGCAGTAAGGTGTATATTCTGAGTATATTTACTTAGAAGGTAGAGTCAACAGGTAGAGTCTAGATTAGATAGATAGGAGGTACCTGAGAAAGAGAGCAAGTAAGAATAAATCCAAGCGATTTGGTAAGAAAAACTGGAAGGGAAGAGATGCCGTCTCCTCAGATAGGAACAGCTGATGGTAGAGAAGATTAGTCAAGAGGGTTGAGGAAAAAAAATCAGAAATTCACTGTGGGACACGGGCTGAAATGCCTACTGGGCATGAGAGCAGAAATGCCGAGAAGACGGCTGGATATGTGTATGTAACCAGCCTGTGTCTGCAGGTTCGCAATAAGCCCTGTGTCTGACAGACTCCCCATGTTAAACTGTTGAGGGCTTCTGTTATCTTTAGCTACATTTTATAAGCAGTCACGGGACTGGGGAGGGGGGAGACAAGTAGTAGACAGGAAGCCTCTCCTGATAGCGGAAGCCTCTAGCTTGAGTTTCTCAGTGACTCTGCTCTTAGGGAGGAGACCTTTGTCAGACTCTCAGTTGCTAAAACATTCCCTGGAAAAGGTAAGAAATGTGTCCAGCAGATGATGTTTTTTGTTTTTTTTTTTCCTCCTTGCATTGTTACTCTCTTGTCCCCATTCCTAGTACCTTCATATTGCTTCACATTGCTTTGCTTTTGGCAAACCCCCTGAGGTGCCTGACCCCAGTATTATTCTCAGCCATTTTCTCTCATTTTCTTTCCAGGTGTGGAAACCTGGAAACCTCCAGAATTACTCCTTTAGCCAAAGTTGGTTTCATTCACAAGGGGGAACCACAGGGCACTTCAAAGTGGGGGTTGGGAGGGGAGGGTTGGAAGTTCGGGGAGAGTCAGGGAGGGCTGGCCTTGGGGCTGGGGTGAGTCATGGGACAGCACTGGCAGGTGTCCTCAGAGTTCATAAACTAGGAGAGTTGCTGGGACAGGCAGTGGACTTAGAACTTTGAGTCAGTGTGTGGTCATCGTCTGACTTGTTTTTTGCGTGGTCTTATCGGGGTATGTGCGTAGGAAGAAACTGATGTTAAAATACCTTAAGCTTAATTAGGTGGTGATCGTGCTTGGTCATCCTGTGAGTAATAGTGAAATCCACAATTTCAAAATCCACAATTTTGCAAGTTGTGGTTTCCGTTTCAATCTTAAGAGCACCCTTTACAGCTCAGCTGCCAGAGGGATGTTTTTTGGCTTTATCCTGGGGAGGAGCTGCAGGGTGACACAGTCCTAGCTACTGGGACACAAGCACAAGCAGAAGTCGGCCGTGGTGGTCTTGAGAAACCTGCTGTTCTCCTGACACCTCCCCTCTTCCTTCCCACTATCTTTGTGTAAATGCAGACATGATGCCTAGAACTGCATGAACAATAAAATCATATATCAATCTGCCACTTTCACTCATTTTTATGGTAAA